AGCAAGTCTAGCCTTTTTCTAATGTTCCGACTTCGACTGCGAAAACATATTCATTGCAAGACATTATTACGTTCCCACAATCTTGTCCTTAGGGTCTTTTTGTAGAAATTGGGAACTTTTTTACAGCTTTCTCGAGGTGCAACCTCCTCTCCACCTTAGTAATGCCTTTATTTTACAGCAACATCAATTACAAGTGTTATCAATAGAGATGCTGATAAAAATTAAAACATCAAGAATCGCTCACACTTAAACACATCATCACTTAAACACAAAATCATGTGGCTGATTTGAGCAAATATGTCAAAACAAATTGTGAAGAATAAGCCAAAATATAACCCAAACATAAAAGTAAATATGGCTTTCAGTTATGTTTAAAATGTAACTGAATTCTGAATGAAACTGAGCAATTGTAAAAAGTCTAAAAATACCCGAGGACCGCTTACATCTTAACAGATAAATAAAAATGTTTTGTTTAAGTCAGTGCTTTTTCGTGGCAGTGTAACTCCTAACAGTAGGACCTTTGCAGGTTGGGTCGACGCAGCGGGACTCAGAATGATTAAAGGATCTCTGTCAAGGTTGATATATCTTGTAAGGTTTAACTGAATTGTTCTTGTTTATCAAATACAATCCTTCTCAATCTTCCTTATTCCAAGTTGCCCTCTTTTTTTCTTATTTCATTGTCACCTTTTCGATGTGTTTCTACCTCGGTAAACTATTATTAAAGCCGGTTTACTTTGATTTAAGATGATTTTATACGCCTACGTTAACAAAGATAACACCATTCACTGTCACTAAGACCCATCATAGCTTAAAATCTCTAGAAGACACAGGTATTTTGTTTTACCGCAAGCTGCAGGTTTTTGCGCAAAAATGATATTTTATTGATTTAAAATCTATTTTGAAGGCCATTACTGAAAATAATTAGACCTGAACGTAAATGATGGGTCATTTGAACTATTCCATTTCGTTTGGTATACTTGTGTAGAGCTGTCTACTTCCTTGATCACCTAAGAGTCACCTAAGGTTGTAATGCAGAGAGGCTTCTCTAGAAAATGAATTACTGTTCTGTCCAGGAGCAACGTTCTCATTCTATACACATATCTAAACCGTATATTTATATCCAAAAATATATTAAAGTATACCACTTTTCACCTCGATCTCAAAGAATATTGTTGAATATATCAAATTTATATAAAAATAATTGACTGACAACATCAAAACAATTTTTCGTCGCGTCCTTTCGATATTTTAACTTTAAAATATATTTAGGAATATGTATGGTTATGGGCGGTCATCGAGCGAGATGAAGAGAAACAGTAAGTTAAAGTTTCTTTTCAAATTTTCTTCCATTTTAACTTTTCATGTCGAAATCCTTAATGTAAACAATAGGGCCATTTATACGAGGAAAAATAAGACGCGTCTTACATAAGACGCGAACTGTACCATTTATACGAGCATGTCTTATCTAATAAGACGCGTCTTAGCTAAGCCGCGTCTTATTTTAGACGAAATNGAGCTGTCTACTTCCTTGATCACCTAAGAGTCACCTAAGGTTGTAATGCAGAGAGGCTTCTCTAGAAAATGAATTACTGTTCTGTCCAGGAGCAACGTTCTCATTCTATACACATATCTAAACCGTATATTTATATCCAAAAATATATTAAAGTATACCACTTTTCACCTCGATCTCAAAGAATATTGTTGAATATATCAAATTTATATAAAAATAATTGACTGACAACATCAAAACAATTTTTCGTCGCGTCCTTTCGATATTTTAACTTTAAAATATATTTAGGAATATGTATGGTTATGGGCGGTCATCGAGCGAGATGAAGAGAAACAGTAAGTTAAAGTTTCTTTTCAAATTTTCTTCCATTTTAACTTTTCATGTCGAAATCCTTAATGTAAACAATAGGGCCATTTATACGAGGAAAAATAAGACGCGTCTTACATAAGACGCGAACTGTACCATTTATACGAGCATGTCTTATCTAATAAGACGCGTCTTAGCTAAGCCGCGTCTTATTTTAGACGAAATGTGCCGTTTATACGGAAAGTTCGCGTCTTATGTAAGACGCGTCTTATTTTTCCTCGTATAAATGGCCCTAATGTCTGCAACTAAGAGAGGAAAACAGAAGCAACAGGCAGAAGTTTCAGAAGAAGAAGACTTCGAAACATTTGTACGAGAGTCGCTTGGGCAACTGAGCAAAGGTCAGAAACAAATCTCAAACTTAAAAGCTAAAGTAAAGCAGAATGAAACAGCGTTAGATAAAATATCTAGCCAATTTAAGACCATCAACGACAGCTTTGAAGAACTCAAGGGCGAGCTTCATGACGCGAGGTGTAAAGTCGACGAGATGGAAAGCTCTGTTCAAAAACACGCTAAGCAAATTGAGGGAATGCGTGAAAGACTGCTGTCCCTTGAGCGGTATTCTCGAGAATAAAACCTCCGTTTCCACAACGTTCCAGAATCTACTGACGAGGATCGTGTCCAAAAGGTCCGTAACATTTTATCCAACCACCTTGATATGGACCCGGAGATTGAAAACACGCATCGTGTTGGTCCTCGAAATGACGACAAACCGCGAGTAATTATTTGCAAGTTCTTTCATCGTCCACAGAGATATAAAGTTATCCAGAAGAAGCGTGATCTCGAGGATGGTATTTGGGTTACAGAGGACCTGGTCTGGGAAGATCGTGAAGCAAAGAAGGAATTAAAGAAAGTAATGAAGGAGGCATTTGAAAATGCTAAAAAGCCTAGATTCGCGCGTGGAAAACTTAACATAGATGGAGCTCTTTATCGCAAAACGTAACTTCACGGTCAAGTCAGAATATGTAGGCATTTATTATCTCGTACTTACGTTAGTAATTTTCGAAAATTTAAGTCAATTTTGTGACTGTAAATGACAAGCGACACATATGACCCAGATTTAAATCTTCAGTCTTTTAATGACCATGGCATATTTACATTAGAACTTTCGCATGTTGTCAAACCTCAACTCTCGGCCCTTCACTTAAATATAAGAAGCCTAAGCAAGCATTTCGACGAGCTATGTCATCTTTTGAATCCATTTCCCTTCCCGCTAGATTTGCTTGCTTCTTCTGAAACTTGGATTACCCCCCAAGTTGACATAAGCAGCTTGCAAATCTCAGGTTACAATATCATAACTGACAATCGCACGTTTTCTACAGGTGGCGGAGTTGCTTTATATTTAAAGTCAAGTTTTGAATATCATTTAAGAAATGGTTTAAAGATAGCTGGTGTTGAAAATATTTGGGTTGACACACAAGACTTGCTTATTGGCGTTATTTATAACCCTTCCAGTGGGTCCCAACGCGATTTTATTGATGAATTTGAAAACGTTCTGCATTCCGTCTTTTTGTCTAAGAGAAAGTGTCTGATCTTAGGTGAATTCAACATCAATACACTCGTCAAGAGCACAATAGCAAAAGAATACCTCAACTTGATCCACTCAGAAGGTTTTAATCCTTTGGTTCTCGAAGCAACTCGCGTAACTGAGTCAACAACAAGTTGTATAGACCACATTCTTTCTAACTTTGTGTCTTCAAGTACTAGTGGTAGCATTGCTATAGAAATAGCTGATCATCTTCCAGTCTTTACTCTTTCGTATGACCCTACGCTAAGTCCCTTTCCCAATAAAATTGAAATTAGAGATTTTAAAAGGTTTGACAACATTGCTTTTCAAAAAGCGTTGAGGAATGCTAATTAGGACACCAGTATACAAGAGCTATGATGTGAATGAAAGCTAGCTAACTAGATTCTTTCATTAATAAGTGCGAATAAGTGCTTGTTTATATTAAGATCCTTACGTAAGGAAGGTTATTCTCAGGCGGAGTTAGATCACTTGTTTTCAAGTACTGTGCTTCCTAGCATCACTTATGGGTTGCCGGTAATATATGGAGCTTCTGAGGCGGAGCTGACAGCAATGCAGTGTTTTCTAAATAGATGTTACAAACGTAAATATACATCTAAATCATTTTCTATCAAGCACCTTCTAGAAAAGCAGGATAGAAAAGTATTTCGTAAGGCATCTGGCATAGACCGACACCCTCTAAGGGGACTATTACCCAAGAAGAAAGTATCGACTTACAATTTAAGGAATCGAACAAGTAAGTATCCGAAAGTTAATACAGATAGATTCAAGAACTCTTACATTAATCGCTTAATTTTTAAATACAATTTAGCTATGTGAGCGTATTTTTTTAATTGCATTTTTTTTTTATTGTTAATAACTTAGATATATATACTTTTTACTCAAATATTGTAACATAAGATATGTATTTTTTATCTTGTGTGGAAATAAAGACTAGACTACTAGACTACTTTCATACCTTTAATAGTATTAGAAATTCACATGCACCGCTTAAATCGGTAAGCATAAAAAATAAGTCCGACAAGCCCTGGGTGACGATGGGATTGAGAAAATCAATCAAAATTCGTAACGAGCTCTATAAAAAATGGTTGACAACTCGAAATATTTATTATCATAAGCAATATAAAATTTATCGAAACAAGATTGTTTCAATTAATAAAGCCCTTCGAACCTTATACTACGATAGTGTACTTAAGGACCCCACAAAAACAAAAAAATGTGGGATAATGTTAACCGTATAATCAATAAAAAGCGGCCATCCTCGAATATTGACAATCTGAAAGTTAAGGATAAAAATCTCCAGCAACCATCTTCAATATCAAATGCTATTAACAGGTACTTCTGCAATGTTCCAACTGAACTTGCTTCTAAATTGCCTTAAGCGGATCGCCACTTCTCAACCTATATGAGGAGGAAAAAAATCAACCTTTCGCTTTGCTCAAGTAAACGAAATCGAGGTTTATCTACTATTAGAAAGTATCGACACTAAGAAATCATTAGGCTATGATAAGGTACACCCACTTTTATTATCCTCTGCTGCACTTGAAATATTTCGACCGCTGACACATATCATAAATTTATCACTTAAACATGGCATATTCCCTGATAACTTGAAAATTGCCAAAGTTATACCAATCTTTAAACAAGGCTCTCGTTCCTCATGCAATAACTATCGCCCCATATCAGTTCTTTTAGCATTAAGTAAAATTTTTGAGAGATGCATTCTTAACCAATTATCATTTTATCTCACCTATATTTTGGTACCAAATCAATATGGCTTTAGATCTGGCGTGACCACGGTTGACTGCCTGGTAGACCTTATAGATGAGATAACGAAAGCCCTTGACGAAGAAAATTATGCCATTTCGATATTTCTAGACCTAAGTAAATCATTCGACACAGCCAACCATTCTATCCTGTTATCAAAACTTGACGTATATGGTATACGAGACATTGAAAATCAGTGGTTTAGGTCTGACCTAAACAAAAGGAAGCAAAAAGTGTTTGTTAATGGCGTTGAATCTGACTTCCTAGAAGTAACTCAGGAGTACCGCAAGGGTCGATCTTAGGTCCGGTCCTTTTTCTAGTTTATATAAATGATATTGTTAACGCGACTAACTACTTTTCTATAAGACTATTTGCCAATCATACTTCGCTGACTGCGGCTGGTAAGGATTTAGATTTATTGCTACAGCGAATAAATTCTGAATTGCCAGCAATTTATAAACGGTTTTGTTCAAATGGATTAACTCTGAATTTAAGTAAAACAAAATACCTTGTCTTCCAACCGAGACAAAAAGTCAATTCTAACTTACACCCTCCTCTAAAAATTGCCGACCATTATCTTGAGCAGTTGTACAACGTTAAATACGTAGGATTAGTTATTGATTGCTTTTTGTCTTGGCATGATCATATTGACCACATCAGTAGTAAAATCAGCAAAAGTGTAAATATCATCGCAAAACTGAAACGACATGTAACAACCCAGTCTTTGATAAGTATCTACTATGCACTTGTCTACCCCTATTTAAACTACGGTTGCATTCTGTGGGGGTAATAATTACGAAGCTCCAGTATCACAATTAGTAAAGCTACAAAACAAAGTTGTGAGAGTTGTTAATAACGTTCCACTTCGTGATCATATTACGCCTCATAATGCAAACCTTGGCCTAATTAAGCTTCCTGACATTGTTAAGCTAAATACCTGCCAGCTCCCAGCGGTACATCCCCACCCAGAAATTCCAACAGTGCCCCCCACCCCCCGGGCAGCTGATATACGATCACTTTGTAGATAAAAAGCCGTCTAATTTCACGCTGGCTTCAGTATCTGAGCAACATAATTATGACACAAGAAGTGCATCCCTGCAACACCTAAATCCAAGTAGCTTAAGAATAAATTTAAGAAAATTCTGTCCAACAGTCATAGGATGCTATTATTGGAATGATATTTCTTTATCTATACGTGAAAAAACAACTAAAAAATTGTTTAAAAGAGCACTTTTCAACTATTATCTTGCTCAGTATTAATCATCGCCACACCTACTCTCAAATGTTACATTTTTTTATGCGTGTGTGTGTGTATGTGCTTTTCTTTTTTCCTCTCTTTTGAATATTTTTCATATATTTTTCATAGTCTATAGGGTTTATACTTTTCTCTTTTTTTTCTCTTTTAACCTAAGTAAAACTGTAATTTAATCAAAGGGCAAGTAATTAGTTTAACTATATCCTGCCCTCTCCATTTATTCTTGTAACCTGATATTTAATTCTACAAATAGCATCTTTAATTCTTCAATCTTGTAATACAATATAAATGGCTTGTAAAATAAATAAATGGAGGAAAAAATAAACAAACAAACATGTATGTCTATGTATGGCTATGTAGGGTTATGTATGACTATGTAGGGCTGTGTATGGCTATGTATGGCTAAGTAGGGCTATGTAGGATTATGTACGTCTATGCTGGGCTGTATATATACATTGCTTCTAGTAACTAACGTCAAACCACTATATGATGCTTACACCACGTACTTACCAGTCGAATTGTAGTATGGACCGTTCTTGGGACCCTATTGTTTTTCTTATTGGCTATTGAGAAGTTTGGAAGGAACTAAGTCAAAATTCGTACCTTTAACAGTTTGTCAAGTTTGATACAACACTGTTCTAGTTTCCTTTTTAGCCATCTCGTCTCTTTTCCTGTGACATCCAAATGGCCCAACAGACCGAAATAGTTGACTACCCTCCCCAACTTCACTTTCAAAGCCCCTTGGAATTGTAACATCAGACTGAGATACTCAAGTGTACAAGCTGCGGGCGACTATAAAGCGTGCTCTGCGAGAGTGAAAAATAAACTTTGACGTGAATTTGGCTTGTTACACACATATTTCAATAAGCTCATCAGAGGCATTTTAGCTAATTTATCTCTTTTCTCACACTATAGTTTGATTTTCCAAGCTACATACTCGAGTATGATTTAAGACCTGGAGTGTAACAGGTTATCATTCGCTGTTCGTTTAGTCAATAGCCTGCCGTAGCAGGTGTCGGTCTTGTTAGGGCGAAGAGACACAGTTTCGAGGACACACGCCCGCTAGGCATGTCCCGATTACGCTTGGCACTTTTTCGAATTTGGAGCACTATTTTAACTTTCCAGCAATCTTGAGCACTTTCTTGCCTTTTGAGCAGAATTTGATCATTTTTTCGCTTTTTGGGCAATATTTAAGCAATTTTTTTTACAATTTTCCACATGTTTAACGTTTTCAGTAAGGCGTGTCTTTGGGGTGAAATTAGTGTCCAAACTTAAGAGTTGTTAAAACCATGAAGACATCTTAAAAGAACTGAGCAATCGACATTGTTCAGAAAATTCAAAAGACATAAGATGCGTTATATATATTTTGTAACGCAACAGTATGAATATTAGGTTGCATAATACCGCAGAAGTATTTAAAGGTGATGTTACACGGGACGATTCGCAACGACGATTTTTAACAACACAGCGTTGCAATGCTGGAACAATGTTGTAACCATTCGAAACAATGTCGCAACAATGTTGCGCGCTAAAAATCGTCGTTGCGAATTGTCTCGTGTAACATCACCTTAAGGCATGCTTGTAAGGTGTCTCAACGGGCTAGTACACTATTTAAGGTTTGTTGAGCTATGCAAGTGCCATTTGAGGCATCTTTTTCAACCCTAAATTCGTGGAGAGAAGGTGGTTTGAGCTCGCATCAAAGGGTGATTTAGTAATGACTCTGGCTGCACGATTCTGTAATTTTTGGAGCTTATCACTCAAGTAACCACTCAAACAGTCTCAGACGAGGCTGCAGTAATCAAAATGAGGCATAATTAAAGCGTTATAGATTTGAATTGCAGTTTCTTTGGATATAAAGGGCCGCACACGTTTTAGGGCGCCTATAGCTGAAGAGACTTTCTTTCAAATCTCTTCAACGTTTTTACCCCAAGAGAGCTGAGCGTCTATGGTAAGACCCAAGGATTTGGTATGATCGACTCTCTTGATAATTTGGTCATCAATTCTGATTTCTACATCGTCACATTAGGCAGATAGTCTTTGTCTTGATCCAATAATCATTAGCTCTGTTTTAGCAACATTTAGACTGAGCTTGTTAGCTTTTTTTTAGGTTGGTGTCATCGGCAAACATTCTTGGTACGGCGCCCCGCAGGGAGTTGGGAAGATCATTAATGTAAATTAAAAATAGCAAAGGACCCAATTTGCTACCCTGCGGCACGCCGCAACTGAGGGTACGAGCAGATGATAGTTTGCCACTGACATTACATCTTTGGGTTCGGCCACTTAAGAACGACGAGAACCATTTTATAGCTAACTGATCGACACCCAAGTATGACATCTTACGCAAGATGATCTCATGATCAATGGTGTCGAATGCCTTAGTGAGGTCAATAAAGACAACACCATTTAGAAGGCCATTGTCGATGTTTACTGACCAAGCATTTGTTGCCTCAAGCAAAGCCGTGAGCTTACTATGTAGAGAACGGAACCCTGATTGGCAACCTAGTAGCAATTTATTATCATCTAGATAATGGAAAAGTTGATTATAAACAATTCTTTCAAAAACTTTCGAAATTATAGGGATTACAGATATTGGTTGTTAGGGTCCGATTTAATGCCCTTTTTAATAATTCGTCCCTTTAACATTTTGATACAACACCGATCCAGTTTCCTTTGTAGCCATCTCGTATCTTTTCTTGCTACTTCCAAATGATCCACCCTCCCCACCCCCCTTCACTTTCAAAGCCACGCAGGTTAATTAGCCCACAGCAGGAGCCCATCAGACGTTAAAAGGGTATTTTAATACCATCACAGTTTAAACACTGTAGCAGGATCCCTTTGTTGATAATTTTATTTCATTTTACTTTGGATTCCCTAAAAAAAAAAGAGCCATTATTATCAAGCTTTCTCTCACAGAAAATCCATTAACACCTTTATCAGGAACCGTCACTGTCTTATTCCAGTGAACGAAACGAAAAAATAACGTTGCCTGATAAAACAATAAGGCCATTTAGGCATCAAAAGCTGAAAGGTTTTAAATTCAGGCCTTGTCCACACGTATCCGGATATTTTTGAATCCGCAACTTTTTCTTTCCGGATACCGTTTCTCTCCACACGTATCCCGTGAATCCGGTATACGAATCGGCAACTTTTTGAGGATATTTTTTTGATCGGTGACGTAACAAGGTCGAGCTCAGTTCAGTTTACCGTGAAGGGAGCTTAAGCAACGACGACGCGAACGGCAACGAGAACGTCAAAAAAGCAATAGGTTTGATTAGCAAAACAACAACTTTGCACGTGCATCACGCTTTTTTTGTACATTTCTTTGCCGTCGTTGCCCGACTACAACGTGAAAGTGCCTGAATTCACGTTTTTTCAAGGACGGGAACACAAGACAACAACTTTCTTTTCTTTTCCTGAACTTTGATACAGCCCTTTAGAATTCAACTCCAAAAACATTTGCCAACATTTGACGAAGTAAACGAGATGGAATAAGCGCGATAAAGTTTGAAGCGGCGCGAATTCACTTTTTTAGTGACGTTTTTGTAGCCGTCGCCGTCGTTGTTGCTTAAGCTCCCTACTAATATCCAATATGGCAACCTCGTTCCCAGGTTCCCTCTTCTCTTACCCGTCTTTACGACGCATGTTCTGTAGCCAATATTCCCTGGGCAACCTCGTCCCCAGGGCTTTTCCCTCCCATTTTTTGAGGGAAAAGCCCTGGGGACGAGGTTGTTCCCTGGGTACTAGACTGAATCCGGACACGTGTGGACGGGCAAATTCGGATACGTGTGGACGTGTGGACGTGGAAGTTCTTGAATCCGGAAAGAAAAAGTTGCGGATTCAAAAATATCCGGATACTTGGGGACGAGGCCTCAGTGATACAATTACAGCAGCCTGTAACAACTCTTGAATAATAGTTGAGTGATTGAATCATGTTTTGTAGAATCCCTATCATGATTTGCTCCATTTTTGGCAGTGTTTTGGTCCTAGCGGTTCTGCCATCTGGCCCTGTTCGATTCTTGGTCGTCTATATTAATCGTTATCGTCGTCGTCGTCAGTATCAAACCTTGAAATAAATTACTGCGCCCCATAGCTGTCCGATCAGCCTTGCCTTCAATTTTAAGTGTCGGTCATCGCCTATTTCTCTTTCGTAAACTGTCATTGCCATTTTTTAACTCTTTAAGCCCCAATATCCACATACAAATTCTCCAAACTGATCTCCATACATTTCGTTCATAAATGAGTTGAGAGAATTCGATAAAAGATCGAGGCATTTTCCCTTAGGTGATCATTTTATTAATTCTCATAACCTAATCTCTTGATATTGTATGGATATCGTTAGGAGAAAATTGACGTTAGTCACTATTGGGACTTAAAGGGTTAACGGTCGATGCCACCATCGGTAACCAAGCATTTGGTCATGATAGATGCAGTATATTCCCTGGATTATCGTCATCATCATCACCACCATCAATTCATTACTTTAAAATCACGCTGTAGTTATCAGATAATTCTGGCGTTCAAAAGCCGAACGATGAAGATTTTTTGAATGTAGTTTCCCCCTCTCCTCCGCTTTGAGTTTGATTCAGTTTTAATGGATTTGTCACGTGGAGTTCGGAAAGTGCTTTTTTCTTTACAATATCTCCCCCTTCTGGCCCCTAAAGGCAGAAGACATTGTTTTCGTTATTGAAAACACTCACGGTACAGCTGACGGTAAAATACTTCCGCTGGATCTTCAACTAGCTA